TAGGAGCCCAGAAGCTCAAAAGGACCGTTAACAAACTAATGGGGACATCAACATCAACTTGTGAGAGTTGGATTAGGTCATAAAGACCCATCTCCTTTCATTACAATTCATAGGTTGGCTTCAAGTGTTTGACCCAGTTGGCTTAGGCATGAGGAGACTGAGGCCAGTTATCGAGTTTTCGACAAGAAGATTTAGTAAAGGGTAATGCCATTTGGGCCAGTATGAGGTCACAAATTGAGGTTAAGGGCCATAGATTCGGCTGGGTGGGACTTGCCACATCTAATAGGTTTGGAGCTATAAATAAATACCTTACATCACTCTGGTTAGACAAACAAAAGCTTCAAGGAGAAGTGCCAACGAAACAAAGCAAAATGTGATCAATATTTATCCCTAAAAAAATGTAAGAATCTAACCAAAGGAAAGGATCTTACTAGAAACTGGCGCATGGATGGAACAATGAGACTTCTTGAGGAAAATAAAGAAGAAACATTAGACTAAGAACTTAAACCAAGAAAATGCAAGTTCAAGATGGTATATTTAATGTAATAAGTCCTGCTAAAGGGCTAACGGGATTTTGAATCATGGCTAGAGAGTTAGGCAAGGTGACGGCAGGAACAATGGATAGGGAAGCATTAGAAGCAGTAGTAGTAAAGGAAGAAGCAATTGTTGAACAAAAAAGCAGAAGGAACAAGGAGCAGAAGCTTAATGGTTAAGGAATGGCAGAGAAAACAAGAAGGACTGGGAAGAGAGAGGAAGTAAAAATTTATATTATCAAGAAGACGCAAAGAAATGAAACAACATTTTAGTCCTCTTTCAAACATTCCATGTGGCTTATAATTACTAGCCACTAGTGTAACATCCTCAATTTTAAATCTAGATTAATTAAGCTTAAATAGATTAGTAAAGTGAATCTTTGACGTGTGTGGTCAGAGAGGCCTAACGGACGTGTTTGATCTCTATTTCAATACTAAATGTGGGTTTAAAGGAAAATCAGGTCACCTGAGAATAGAAGAGGAAGAACTTTTAAAGGGAGTGATTCTGTGCCATACACCGCGGTATAGGGTTAGTCCGCTGCAGCGCATGCATGACAACACACCTAGAAGAAGCTCTCTGTGCCATGCGCCGTGGCGCATTGTGCATCCACCGCGGTACATGGTCAGAATTTTACAATATTAAGTCGCGAATTTGAAGTGCAAAAGAAGAGGAAACAAAAGAGAATGAGAGTGGCGAAAAAGCTGAGCTAGGGCTTAAAGAAACTGACTATTAAGAGTAATTTGGAGCTCATAATCACCCAAGGTAAGCTGCCTTACTTAAATCTTCCTCTCTTCTTCCATTCTCTTAATGGTAGAAGTTAGGGTTTGATTGCTAATGGTGATTTTTGGTCCCTAAAAGTTATGGGCTTGAACCCATTGATTTAAATAGAGTTAATAAGGGCAGATTGAGCTAAGTAAACTTAATATTTATGGTTTTATGATGATTGATGGTTGGAGGACATTAAGTGTCCAAAATTTCCATAAATTTAGTGGTTGGGAATAATGTGGCTTCATTAATGCCCATTTAAGAGCTCAATGTCATAAATGAGAGTAATAGGAAGCTAAAAAACCTGATGGGTACTTCTACATGAGTTCAGAGTAAATCTTAAGTATTAAGAAATGATGAAATGCTAGTAAAAAATAGCTCAAAATGGGTATTGATATTTTGCATGGTAAATGCTTGTAGTGTAATTACCATTAGCACTATTCAAGCTTCTTGGAAGCTTCAGGAGCGAATAGTTGAGGGGTGAAACCTTTAACCTTTCAAAAGTTTGAGGTAACCGGGGGAATTCTATCTTATACTTGTGTGTGACTATTAGTTTATTGATTTATGAGTTATCATTGGGATGTATAAAATAAAAGAAATGAAAGTGTGGCTTAATTTGTGAAGAAATCCACTATATCAAATTTGTGAGTTTTATGCCTTATGATGTAAAATTTCGCTTAAGAATAATAGTAGTGGATTTTCGTATTAATGTTCATTAGGAGTGCAATGATTTCTATAAATTGAGAAGCAACATGAATCTTTGTTTGGAAGGAGTTCAATGATGTTTGAAAGTAGGGAAGCTTAATGATTTTAAGAGTTTAAGGTACAATGAAAATAAGGAAGTTCAATAATTTTGAAAATGTGAGGTACAATGATTGTGAAGTAGGAGTTCCACGACTTGTTTGGTTTTAAAGTTCCATAAAATGTGTAATAATAAAGTTCAATGAAAGGTGATAATGTGAAGTTCTATGAATCCTATATGTGTGAATTATCACATGAATGTCCATTACATGATCTAGAAAGGCGTGAGTTTGCTTAGAAAGCGGAGTAGATGATAAATCCACATGGTAAAACCCCATCCATGTGATGGATTACCTAGATTGATTTTATCCATATTGTCCTACTTGTTTAATGAGGGACTGTCCCACTGGTTCAACGGAGGACTTGAACCTAGCTAGCTATCTACCGAGTTAATGAGGAAGCTAGTTTAGGGTGTATGACACCCCATGGTGAGAGAAATGGGAGAAACTGTGATCCATAAGTGAGATGGGTACACCTTGGCTAGGTAATTTCCTCACGAGTGTTTAGGCTAGGGAAGTCAAAAAACATAGACTATCCCATTGAGTTATAGCCCATGGTTTCGTGTCAGATGAATGAAGAGGATATAAGATAGGTGTGATCATACATATATTGAGAAAAGGCACTTATTTTTTATATTGAGTCCATAATGTGGATATGTTGAGTTGAGTAATAATTTTTGCTATTAGGCTTGTCAATAAATTGTGTGAGCAATTTTATTTATATGAAAGACGCTAAAAGCATTGTTTTTCCAAGTGAATGCCATTATCTGAGCTAAGTTGTGAATTCTTATTTCAAATGTTTCTCATGGGTTAAAGTAATAATATTTACTACTACTTGCACTTAAACTAATTGTTATGCATTGGTATGGGCTGGTCGGACCTTAGTTACTGAGTAGTTGTACTCACCCCATTATCTTCAATATTTTAGAGAATAGCTCAAGAAGTGAAGATAGAGGAAAACAACTCGAGGCTTAGGATCACGATCTATTTGTAATAGGCCTCTTTATTTTGGATAATTTATAAGTATGACAATTTCGATTGCTAACTAGGATTTCTCTTTTTGTTACTTACTTGTATTAAGTGAAATGTAAATTGTAATGGTATTTTGGGCTTTAGGGAGAGAGTTGATTATTATGTGTTATGATGATAGGGTCAAAATACTAATGCAAATGAGGGTAGTGAATATTATGTGATAATTTGGGAAATCTTGATGAAAATGGTGGTAAAATCCCCCTTTCTATGATTTTGAGTTAAGGGGTTGAGTAGTGAAAATTTGATCTAAAAATATTCCTTGTGTTATGGTGCATTGCACGAGTTGATTTTGATGACATGTATGTGGTTATAGTGTTGTTGGTGACTTATGGTCCTTGGTATATGTTTTGAACATTCGAGTTTGTGAAATTTGTCGTATTAGTATAAGTTTTGAAAAGGATGTCCAATTTCTATTTTAAAAATAATTTGAGCCTAAGACTAATGCCTTTAGTTAGAGTCTAGAAAGAGCTTTCTATAGACTACTAGTTCATGTCATTCGGACGTCGGACGGAGATTTGGGGTGCGTTGGAAGTTGGCCCTAAAGCTTTCAAATTAACAACAGAATTCACTATCAAAATTCGTGCATTTACACCGCAACGCATGGCGTCACGAGCCACGGCACATGTCACAGAGGTGAACACGTTGCGGTGCATGTTCAACAAGCTGCGGTGCACACCTTAAAAATTTTTAAAAATTTTTCTTTTTCAGATTTCTACACCAATACACTCACTTATGTGATAATCTCTTGCTTCTGCATATTTGCGAACTTTGATTTGCCTCTTTGTAAGACTTGATTTGACTTTAGATTTATAATTTTGGATTCTCCATTTTGTTAACCAATAAGGATTCTATTTTTGATAATTATTATCGTCTCATTTTCCTAATTACAACTTGGTAATTGTGGGATAAAAGGAGGATGATATTACAACTAGCATGTGGGGGCATTGTTTGGAATAAAATTGAAACATTGTTTACAATGGCTATAAAATAAAATAAGCTGAATAACTGAAGAGCTAGACCAAATAAGCAATTAACAACAGGGCGAGTCCAAATTATAATGGAATAACTTGATCAGATAATCATGGGTCTTTGAATCCCTTAAAGCTTAGAGCCATGGTTTAAACCGTTGCGATACACAAAACCATAACCTCAATGGACCTTGAATCTCACAAAGTCATACCCACTATCTTGGAATATCTTGGAGACATAGGCTAGTTGTTAACAAATGGAATGCATTACGAATAGAAAGACCATGCCATAAATCTCACGGATCGTGCATATTGAATCCCTGATATTTCGCGAATGAGTTCTAGATTTCGTGGGAGCAACCGTCTTAGCTAAACCATTATAAAAGGAGGAGAAAGTCACAGAGAACGAGACTGAACAAAAACACCTTTCAAACACTGTAATCTTTTAGACTTGTAGTTCTTAAATTTCTTAAATAACTTTCAGTTTCATTTTAGCATTGTAATCTTTACTACTTTGTATTTGCCTTTAGCATTAATCAAACACTTGGTATTCCAACTCCTTTGTATCATTTGCATCTGGGTCTACTATGATAAGGGAGCTTGGGAGCTGTTTGTTATCATATGAGACTCAGTATCTTTGGCAGGCTTGATAATTTTATTGTTCATGACAAACAAGTCTCTAGAAACTTCAGAAGAATTATAGCATTTTATGAAATCTCATTATCATTTGCATATTTCAGATTTTTTTTCGTAAATCAAGAATTCTATTATTTTTTCAAAAAATTAATGAATTTTAATAGCATGGTATAAATAATTTGTTGGCTAATTTATTCAGTCGACGTGGAATATTCAAATCCACATGTAGTGGCCGAATCGGGAGCCCGTTATCCCCAAACAACCACCAAATGCTTCACTGAAGGGAGTGTGCTCTATGCTCTGTTTCCACTCATTCTTTTACCTGGGAGCAACAATGCCAATGTTCGCTGCGACGCTTGGCTCCTTCCCGTCGATCTCCTTCTTCTCACAACTTTCATCTTCTTCCACCGATGCCTTCGTTTCTCCTTCAATCTCCTTTCCTTTCTCGAATCAATTCAATCTCTCCAAGTATGCCCACAAATTATCCGTCGTGAGAGGGCGGTGGTGTTACACAGCTAAAGTCTCCGTCTCTGGTAATACACAGATTGATGAAAATCCTGAGAGTCAACTCCATGATGACGACCCCTCTTCCTCACCGGACGCCGCTCGCCTAGCTCGGGTGTGTTATCAGTTATGCCTTTTCATTTGCCTCAATTTTTGAAAACATTTTAATCGTAGAATGTTATTCGGAGAGTGGCTATTTTGAGTGGGGCAAATTGAAGTTGCAATGCCTCTCGACAACCTTTATTGGGTCCATAAGATTTTGCCGTTTCTATAATTGAGGAATTAAAAGCGAATCGTTGTTCTAGTATCTTTTAATTTAAAGAGTTCAGACATAGAAACCAGAATTTCCATTATCGTTGGTTTCATAGACTTGCATGAGATTAAAGCATCTATGAATTTTGAACGGTAAGACCATGACTTATTGGGTTTACATTTTATTTGCATATGAGAGAAAAACAATTATACGGAGAAAATGTTGAGCAAGTTTGTTTTGAGCACTTGCTTCTTATTTTCTTTTGGAAGGTTACTTTAGTTGTAGTCATATGAATGGCATTCAATGATATTATTATTTTATATTTTAAGTTCTAAAATATAAAAGCTTCATAGTTCACAAGATTTAAGTTGGATACATGATAGTTTATTTAACGCAACCAGCTCGTTATTTGGATAGATTGCAATTTAAAAGAATTAGATTTTGGGAGGATTACAAATGGATCCTAGATAAGGAAACTAATTACTTACAAATCCCATCCACTTGTAAATACTGAAGTTTAACATGTAAATATAGAAATTTGACTTGTAAATGGGCTGAAGAAATAATTAATTTCCTTACTTGGGACCTAATTGTAATTCTTCCTTAGAATTTACCTTGCAGTACTGCATGGGGAAGCCAATATTCTGAAAAAAAATGTCAGTATTGTGAGATAAGTATAAGTAAATTTACAGTGTTTCCAATTCCTTTTCTTTTCTTTATTCTTTTATGACAAAAAGTTTAGATGAGTTGGGTTTTGGGAGCTCACCAAGGTCAGGGCATATCTCTTGGTTTAAAGAATGCTTACTGAGATACTTACCAATCATCCACATATACATACTGATCATCCACCAACAAAGTTCTCATTCTAATTTCATGTAAATAATGAACATAAAAATGTTGTTCTCTTAAACACTCAAGTTGTGACTCACAAATTGCTAAGTCAAACCATTACTTTAATTTTGCATTGATGTCAGTTATAATCCTTATATGTTCTAATACTTAATTTCTTCAAAGAATTAGACATCTGCTGATTGGAAGGCTGCAAAGACATATAAAGAGAGTGGGTTCATCTATGATGGCAGAATTGAAGGTTTTAATGGTGGAGGACTGCTAGTTCACTTTTATTCTCTTGTGGGGTTTCTCCCATTCCCACAGTTAAGCCCATTGCATTCATGTAAAGGTACCCATATCTTGATCCTAATTATATATAAACATCTATTTGTTTTCATTTTCATAAAGATATGGATTGAACTATAAAGAATTTGTTTTAATCATCCATTGATTCTCCTGCAATCAGTTCCCTTGCTTTCCCCATTTCCTTTATCCTCCTTGGGGAATTCCATGTTCCTTTTTGTAACTTGATTCAGTAGCAGAGTCCAATTTTATATCATTTACTCTTCGATTTTCAGCTCCAAGGTACCAGCCCACATCTTATTTTAAAGTAGAATGGAAGTATGTAGGTCAGAAATTATCAATGAAAGTGAGATCTTTTAATGTTACTAATATAATTATAACAATTTAAAAGTACAATACTTACATTCTAGAAACTTTATAAACAACAAGAAGAAGAAACAACATTGTGCTCTATCAACAACCAAGCATTTGGATATACTGTTAACCAAAAGATCTTGTTCAACAACTTTATTGATTGTTCTCTTTGGTCTTTCTCTACTTGCTTCATAGGATTCAAGACAATCTATTCCACCCTCTTCACCACCATCTCCCATGACTTTTTTTATACATGTTCAAATCATCTTAAACGATTTTCTACTATCTTCTCCATAGTAGATGCCACACACACTCTTTCTCTTATATGGTCCTAAACAATTATCAGGATAACTGACTAGATAATTGATTTATTATGCTATTGATATTCACACTCACTTAGCAAGATAACTAACTTAAAATGCCTTAACCCCCCATCTTAATGGTAGTTTTACTTTGGACCATGTAACAATTACTTCTATGTGCTATTTATTGACATTTGTGAAGTCATGATAGTATCTAAAGATTTTGGAAGTACAAAATAAACTATATTAGACATCAAAATTCTGGAAATGATAGTTTCATCAAATATTAATTTGATACTAGACATTTTTCCTGGATAACATCATAACATCTATATATTGTTATCTTGCGATAATTGATAGGTTTTCGATACTTCCCCAGTTCCCCTCAAGTCAAAAGATTATATATTTCTGACTTCTTGTTACTGATCCTTTGTTGTAGAGCCGCACAAATCTATCCAGGACATTGCAAAAGGTTTAGTTGGTTCCCTCATGTCGGTGAAGGTAATTCATTAATTAGTAATTTTCACTTCCTTGTCCTTTTGTTCTATGTTGTCATAACTGTAATGTATTTATTTATTAAACATTATTAGCGCTTGATTGGGCATCCCTGATAAATTCTGGAAATCAGGGTCGCATTAGAGACCTTAAAGTCTTTATTTTATCAATCCTCTTCTGTTACTGCAAATAAAGTGCTACATTTTTCCCTTCTTTCTTCCCAATCCCATCTTTTGCTATCCTAGTCAGCTGACAGACTCTGTTTTTTTTCATGAGGTAAAATCCTTATCTCAACATGAAAGCAAATATTGGCATTTTCTCCCGTATTAGACTTAGCAATTATGACCGATCTAGAATTTCAGGCTCCTACAGTGGATATGAAATTCTTAGCATGATGCCTTTGCTGCCTTCCTTCCCTCCTGTGCTTTTCTTTTAGTTACCTCATCAGTTTGGTGTCAGCAAATGTTATCTCATCATGTGTATTGTGATTTTTCAACCCTTTTTATGAGATATAAATTGAGGATTGTTTTTAATATGCAAATGATTGCAGTTCCTTGTAATTTTAGGTAATTCAAGCAGATGAGGATAAAAGGAAATTGATCTTCTCTGAAAAGGAGGCTGCCTGGTCTAGATATTCTGAACGGGTCAGGGTTGGGGATATCTTTGAAGCAATGGTTGGTTCTGTTGAGGACTATGGTGCTTTTGTTCATTTGCGTTTCCCTGACGGTAAGTATTATGTATATGTCTTAAGTTTGGGTTTCCCTTTTCATTATATAATGGAAAAGTTACAAGTGACATCACAGGCTGATGCAGGTCTTTATCACCTCACTGGTCTAGTGCACATCTCAGAAGTGTCGTGGGATCTAGTTCATGATGTGAGAGACATCTTGACAGAAGGTGATAAAGTGAGGGTCAAAGTCACTAGTGTTGATCGGTGAGCTTACCAACAGGACTTTTTAAAAGAATTTAGGTTTCCTATTGATTTGGTTTCTCTTTTCCCTTTTTTTTTTGGGGGGGGGGGCATGTTGATTTTATTCTACTAGACAGAATATATCCATGCTTTGAATCATTGACTAACAAGATTTCTTTGTTCCCCCATTCCCAAATTTTGTAATTAACTATATTGGTGTTGCATCCCTCAATTTAAAACATTCCTATGTCTTTAATTTAGTGATCATTTTCATGTTAGATTCTCATAATTTTGCTCTATTTGTGTAACTCAAGCGTCTTTAAGAATAATACCATTTAGCATTAATTTTTTCATTTAAATTGTTGCAGAGAAAAATCAAGGATTAGACTATCAGTAAAACAGTTAGAAGAAGATCCACTTCTAGAAACTCTTGATAAAGTAATACCTCAGGTTTGTATTGATTTTCATGGCGGGAAAGCACTAATTTCTAGTCAGAGCAAGAGAAGCCAATCCTAACATTGAAACACCAAGTGATGTGACTTTTCCATATGGTCTTCTGAGCTAGTTTTTATGTTGACCATTTATGCAAGACTTGATGCACATAGTTTATCTCATGTATTGAAATGAGAGGAAGAATCCTGACTCTTCGTTTTGCATGAATGGCTAAGTTTATTAGATTATTTAAGGTCGTGGCTTGGTCTTTTAAGTTTTAATCCTGAGGATGAGTGCAATATCTGATGGTTAAGATTTGATCCTCTCACTTATGCTTAAAGCTACTCATTGGAATGAACAAAAGATAGCAGGAAGATCTCTCCCATAATACATTCTATATTGCAGAGTGGCTCAGATGATCTTGACTCTTCAAGTGATGGCACTGGCAATGCTATTGAGCCTCTTCCTGGCCTTGAAACAATACTTGAAGAGCTACTCCAGGAAGATGGGTTAGTTTCCCTTAATTATTTTGGATAGTTGTTCTGGCTCAAATGGAAATAATATGTTTCTTGTTCTCTAATTTTCTGGGAAGAAACAAGTATGATTATGTACTTTATAATCATGAATTATATAGATTTTGACTGTACCAATGAATAACTTTAGCTAATGCCTAATGAACAAAACAACTTGGCAATTATTGCTTCTAAAGAAGATCGAAGATTTAGAATTATGTACTATGACTTTTACTGAAACTGTAATTCATTTAACTATACATTTCCATGGAAGGTAGGTCACCAACCTGTGAGAAAATTTTCATTTTATATCATGTGAGCCCAACAATGTGAAAATACATGATTGAGTAATAAATATCTTGATTTGTAATGCGTGTGCGCGTGTAGAAAATGTCAAGATAGTTTCAGCATAATAAAATTACTTGGTTTTGTTTAAGCTGGTAATGACTTCTGTTGGCGTTTAACAGAGTATAAGCTCTTGTTTTACCTTGCTTCTTTTGCCTTGAACCATCATTGAAATTACGTAGTAACCATTGCTACTTTTTAAGGTTGAAATCCTGATTTTAACCCAAATTATTTTCAGTTTATTGGGGATTTCTTCTTGCGTTATTTAGGCATCTAACTAGGGAGAGAACTATACTCATTCAAACCCATTTTTTCAGAGAATTAAGATTAGGTTTTGTTCCTGATATTTTTGTTATCAAGTTTATAATGACATGTGTATAATTTTTATCTAATAACATGACAATTATATAGTTTAATTGAATAACAATATATTGCCCGCACATATTAAAATCATGCAGTTATCATGTTATTATTTGAAAAATGTCTGGTGATCATTTTTCACCATGGAATTTGATAGCAAAGAAAAGATATAAGAACCTTGCGTATTATTATTATTTTAATTAAACCTTTTACTCTTTCATTTCCTCAACCTCATTATTTTGGGTTCCTGAGAAAAGACAGCTTTGTTTTTGCTGCTTTGAGACTGTAATTTAAGGCGTAATTCCACCACGTTTCATTACTGTTTATTACTTACATATGTATGTGTATATATATATATATATGTATTTTTTGTACAATATAGCCGACCCAATAGTGTTGTACAATCCAAGTAGCCAACTCACCTAGTGGAATAAGGCTTGTTGTTGTTTTTGTATATAATCAATTATCTTTTATATGCAAGAATCACATTTGACTAATAGTTTGATTCAGCACTGGTTGTGTTGATGTGCTGTTGCAGGATAGATGATGCCAGAATCAGCCGTCAAGGTTTTGAAAGACGGGTGGTTTCACAAGACTTGCAACTATGGCTTTCTAATGTAAATTTCTCAGTCCTTTCAGGAAATACTCCAAGGTGTTTATGTTTATGTCTGTTTTCTGTTAATTTCTGTGTCTAATCACAGGCACCTCCCACTGACCAAAGGTTACTCTTCTTGCTCGGGCCGGAAGACAGGTAATTTTCTTTTGAGGTCCAACTCCCATACTCCCAGATGAAAATGACCAAAACTTTTGGCTATTTTGAATTCCTTGGCATTTTAAATGAAAGCAGCACAGATTGTTTCAATTCCAATTTCTCGCATTTATAACTCTTTATTTTAATAAAAACTTGGTTGATGATAGAATACAAGGTGTGATGCAATTCATATAGTTGACCTCATTTGGTGGGATAAAACTTGTTATTGTTGATGTTGTTTTAATAATCTGGATGAAAAGTTCTAGGGTGATCGCTCGACTCAGTGACTGCTAGTATTTCCAACATGTTACCGGGGCCTTGTAATAGGAAGGAGAGAAAACTAGGAAAGAAAGTTCCACCATTGTTTTCCTCTAATTTTCTCTTAGGGGAAAAATTAAAGGAAAAATTTTGTGCTAAGGAAGGAAAATGTTCTTTTCTTTTGCTTTTCTTTCTCCCTATTTTCCTCCTATTCCAAATGGAGGGTAATTGTGATAAATCAAGTACTTGCCATAATTACTTTGACACCTTAAATGACGCCATCCAAAACCACTATCAGGCAGTTTTTCATACTAAATTGGATCTTTTAAAGTATCTTTACCTGAAGTTAAGAGAGAGATAGACACCTAATTATGGGTTTTAGGATCCAATTGTCAAAATGAAACCTACTATCATGTATTTCTCTCTCGTTTCTTTCTAAAAAAACTTTTAGGAAGATCGATGATCGTCCCTCATAGTAGTTTGGTCATGGTTAATTGTGTGTTGGGATGCAGGTGCAGGAAATACATCTGACAACGTCTCTTGATCAGGAAGGTATCAAAAGGGCATTACAAAGAGTATTGGAACGTGTTCCCTGATCCTAATGGTGCTTACTGTTTTTGCACAGTTATCCTACGTTTAAGAGTTCAAATTATTGCACTAAAAAAGATTTTAAATGTGGCCCTCTCTATGTGTATCCCACGTCCATATTATGCCATATCCAGAAACACACAAGGAAGTAGTGAATCTCTCTGTTCTCCTTTATAGGACTTTTAAGGATAGAATCTTCTCTGTTCTTTGTCCTGTGTTCTGGTGGTACAAATGTTGTCACATGACTCATGAGATCTGAAAATTAACGAGTAAATTG